GCAGCAGAGCAGAACTGGAAGTCCTTCCTGGTTTGTGCAGCTCTGATTACCTCAGAGACCACATGATTCTTGAAGAAAATTATTATTTTTTTTGTCTTTGAAGTGGTGTTCCGTAGTTATCAGTAGTCAGTATCTTACCTGCAGTAGGAGTCAGTTTGTGACTAAACACAGCAACTAAAACTTAACTTTATTTATAACAAAATTTAGTTAATCTTAGAATACCAAACTAGAGAGATGCTTAATTAAGGCCGTCATATGCTACGAATTGCTAGTTAGCTAAAAGTGCCATAGAAATCAATGAAGAACGCGTTGGCATGCTAGCTCRTGCTTCAAAACAACACTGCAGAAATTGTCCATCTAACCAAATCTTGCAATCTTATATCTGGCCAAGAAGTATTTTTGCTCGTTTTAAAACTGATGTACTAAGCAAGAGCAGAATGTGTTAGATTATTAATCTTGTTAACCAGGAAGTTTGTTTTATTTTAAGAAGTCTTACCAAGTGCGTCASTGCGCTGGCTGATAATTTCACCTAATTTGAAAAAAAATTACATTTAATCTAGTATTTTTATTTTCGGTTGCTAATTTTACAGCATGTAAACCAGACTTTGAAAATATAAATTTCTATCAGGATATCCAAAAACAATTATCTGCTATGGAGGGATACATTTTTATGCAAAACAGTCATTTTTTTGGTGCAAAATAATAAACATTCTTCTTTTCTTGCCTGTTATTTGTAAATCCAAATTTAGGAAACACATTCCCTAACTTTTCATCAGATAGAGCGGTAATGCCCAGAGGTTTTCCTTCTGCATGTAAGATATTGACCACTGATAACTCCTCAGAGCATCACCTCAAAAATACGAACTGCCCCTTTATCTGACTGTGTGTTTTTGTGCTGTGCTAGTCGACACAGCAATATTTAAAGGGCTCAATCAACACGTTTTGGAAGAAACTCGTTTGGATTATTGAACTGACAGAAGTCGTCATTTAGGCTTTTATTTTGACGAGGATTTTTTATTTTTAATCCAAACTTGCAAACGCCCACTTGTCTGCTGCTCCTGCCTCCTGATTCTCTGGCTTGTTTGTTGGATACCTTCTTCTTCAAAGCACTTCAATTCTCTTAATTAAAACTTTCCACGTTTCAGCTGAATCTGAACATTTGGGTGTGTGTGTGTGTGTGTGTGTGTGTGTGTGTGTGTGTGTGTGTGTGT